GGACCTGGCAGCTTAAAACTCATATCAGGCATGTGTGTGTGTGTGTGTATGTGTGTGTGTGTGTGTGTATGTCCAAAATCCTGAGAAGAAAAGAAATTGTGGCATTACTATCTCCTCTGAGGGGTGATTTCTCTCTCTCTGTCTCTCTCTGTCTCTCTGGTGAGTGCACGCACCCTATAGCAAAAATTCTCTTAAAAAAAAAGTAAGTTATATTCTGTTTTTTAATATTGATTTCTTGTTAATGTATAGAAATGTGATTGATTTTTGTTTGTTGATATTGTATCCTCTACCCTTGCTGAGCTCACTTTCTAGTTTTTTTTTATATCTTTGTGTTTTAGATTCTTTGTTGTCCTCCGTGTAGACAGTCATGTTATCTGGAGACAGAAATAAACTCCCCCCTCCTTCCAGAGTGCATATCCCATTTATGTCTTTGTCTTGCTTTATTTCTGTGGCTAGTTTTTTCAGTACTATGTTGAGTAAGGGTGCTAAAAGCACTTTCCTTGCTCCCACTACTAGGGGAACTCATCCAGTCTTTTGTCATTCAGTATGATTTTTTGTGGTCAGTATGTTTGGGTGGCCTTTATCATGTTGAGGTAATTCCCGTATATTCTAACTTCCTGAAAGTTTTTCAGAAGTAGTATTGAACTTGTCAGTTGCCTATTCTCTATTCAGATGATCATGTGATTTTTTTCCCCCCTGCAACTTATTGATATCGTGGCTTACACTGATTAGTTTCTGAATGTTGAACCAATCTTGGCTCTGCATACATGGAATAAAACCCTCTTGGGAATTGTGTAGCATTCTTTTTCATATATTCTTGGATTTGATTTCCTAACACTTTATTGAGGATTCTTGTGTCCCAGTTCTTGAGTGATATTGGCCTATAGTTTATGTATATGCTTGCTTTATTTTCTGTTTTCATTGCCTGGTTTTGTTATTAGGCTAATACTAACCTCATAAATGAATTGGGAAACATTCTGTCTTCTGTTTTCTGAAAGAGTTTAATACTGATGCTAATTTTCTTAATGGTAGAATTCTCTGGTGACTGTATCTGGGCCTGGAGAGTTCTCTTTCAAGATGTATCCAATTATGAGTTCAATTTTTGGATGCTTATAGAGTTATCCAGATTGCCTGTTTCATCTTGGTTGAGTTATTATAATTTATGATTTTCAAAGAATTCTTTCGATTTTAAGTTGTCAAATTTATGAGTGTGTAGTTAGACATTTCTCATTAAATAGTTGCAGCATTTGTAGTGATATCCCTTATTTCATGTTAGTTATATGTGTATTTTGTCCTCTTATTTTTGTGTGTATTTTGATGTACGTATTTTATCCTTTTTTTTAAGACTTGAATTTTTGTCACTGAGTTTCCAGTCATCTGTTTTAAATTCCATTGGTTGAAGCTTTTTTTTTTTTTAGTTTTCTTTCTTTAGTTCCCTGAGGCTGGATATTAGGTTAGGTTATTGATCTGAAACATTTCCCCTTTTCTAATATAAGAAAATGTACTGTAAATGAGCCTCAGCATTGTTTTAGCTGTGTCTTACAACTTTTTATATGTTACATTGTGTTATAAGACAGAGTCTCACCATGTTGTGAATTTTCTGCCTCAGAACTTTCTTTGTTGTCTTCCATGTAGACTGTCATGTTATCTGGAGACAGATAGTGTGCCCCTGGGGCACACTACCACACCTGGATTTTTGTAGACAGAGTCTTACTATATTGCCCAGGCTAGCCTTGAGTTTCTATTGCTCCTGCCTCAACCTCCCTTCAGCACTGGGATTAAGATGTGAACATCATAGAGTGAGTTTACAAATCTAGATGGTATACACACCTAGGCTATACAGCAGAACCTATTACTCTGTGGTTGTAGACCTATATAGCATGTTATTGTACTGAATACTGTAGGTAATTGAAACACAGTGATTAAGCATTTGTGTGTCTAAACATATCTAAACAAGGAAAAGTTTAGTGAAAAATACAGTATAACAGTAAAGAATGGTGCACCCTTACAGAGACTCTATCATGAATGGAACTTGAAGGACTGGAAATAGCTCTGGATGAGTCAGTGAGTGGTGAGTAAATGTGAAGGCTTGGGGCGTTACTGCACACTATTGTAGACTTTATGAACACGGTACACTTAGAGGGCAAAAATTTATAAGATATATTTGCCTTTTTTCTATAATAAATTAACCTTATCGAAGGTTTCCTTTCTTTAATAATAAACTAAACTCATCAACATTTTTAGTATATAAACTTTTTTTTTTTTTACTTTTTGCTCTTTTGTTGTGACATTTAGCTTAAAACACATGGTACAGATGTATGAAAGTATTTTCTTTCTTTCTATCCTTAGTCTATATACCTTTTCTATTTTTAATTAATGTTTATTTATTTATTTATTTATTTGATTTTTTTAACCAATAACCTAACTAGGCCCAAATACACACATTTGCCTAGACCTATAAAGGGTAAGGATCATCAGTCTCAATGTCTTCTACCTCTACATTTTGTCCCACTGGAAGGCCCATGATCAGCAAAACAGCATAAGATTAAATTAGTACAGGAGGAAAATGATGACTTTAAGAGATATGGTAAACACTAGATGTGTGAGGCTGCTGCCAGCATAACACAGAATATTGTTTTACCCTGAATTTAAAAAAAAAAAAGTTTTTGTCATAGGGCAAATGTGCTCACCGGAGAGAGACAGAGAGAGGGAAAGCATGGGATCACTCACACCACAATCTCTCTTCTACATTTTCCTCCTGGGCATGCAGTCATACACACCTGGTGTGAGTTTCAATCTGCCGGTTTTAAGACTTGAACTGCAGGCAGTCAGCCATGTGGGAGCCCAGTGCCTTAGCCACCATACCACCTGCTGGCCCCTGCCCTAAACTTTTTATAAATAGAAGTACACAGTAAAATAATGAGTAAAAATATATAAACCAGTAACATAGTCAGTTATTATCATTATCAAGTATTATGTACTGTTCATAATTGTATATGCAATGATCTTTAGGATAACTGACACTGCAGTAGGTTTTCTTTATACCAGCATCACCACAAACACATAAATGAGATGTTGCACTATGATGTCAGGACAGCTATGATGTTCCTAGCAAATGGGAATTTTTCAGGCCCCTTATCATCCATGGGACCAACATCATGAACATAGCTCTGTCATTGACTGAAACATTATGCAGTGCGTGATTGTATATATACATATAATGTATACACATATGTATATGAACAGGTTTCCTATGATCATGAATCCTTACATATTTTTAACATTTCTTATTAATGATATTATTAATATAAATTGATTTAAACTCCATATATCAAACTAAGCTCAATACTTTTTAAATATAAAGCAAAATGTTATTGGAAATCCTTTCCTTAATCAGATGCGTGGAGTTTTTAAATTTATATTTAATTAGGATGTTTATGAATACTGGTTATTTACTGAATGAATCTCACATGACTTTAATTACCATTTTTAATTTCCATTTCGATGTAAAAGATGAGAAAATTTGTCTCTGTAATGAGTGGATTGGAATGTAAGGAGTTTGTTGTAGTAATGTCACTCAATTTTTTGAACTCCTTCAAACTTTATGGTAAAACTATAGCAGCTATAATTTTAAAAATACTTTATCAAATATCACTTTTAACAGTTTATCAGTTAACTCAACTGTAATTCCCCTATTTCAAGGTTGATGGAAGAAAATTGGAAAGCACCTTTACATACATAGAGTTGTTGCCTAGTCATTTTGGCCATTCACTTTCTCAATATCAACACCAGTGTTTTCAATTGTCTCTAGTTTGGGGCCCCAAAAATGTCCAAAGTAATTCATTAGAGTTAAATTAAGGAAAGAGGGAATCTAGCTCTCCACTTTTGTACAAGGTAATGGAAAAAGAATTGTGGAAAGGGAGGTGAGAAAGTGAAATCTGCAGGTCATAGATGTATTCTCAAGCAGATATATTTTATGGAAAAGGAAAACTGGAAGATACTTGCTTACAAATCAGAGCATCCTAAATTTGAAGAGCACTTGTACCTAGCATTGGTGTATCATTCTCTTATTTTCCAGAGATCCCTTAACCATGTCCCTTAGGTAGGCACTTCCTCTGATAGCTGGCTAAATACTCTGTTGTCAGAGATTAACTATCTTGATATGTTGTGGTGTGTATGGAGCCAGACAAGTTTTTAAGATTTTTATATCAGAGGAAGAGAAACCAATAAAAGGCAGAGAAGTCATGTGTGTGTGCGTGTCTTTCTCTCCCTCTCTCTGTATGTGTGGATGTGTATACATGTGTGTGACATGTGAAGACTCCTAAGAAATTACTCTTAACACCTTTTTCTGTAAACAGAGAAACAGTTTGAAAGCAAAATACTTGACTTTACATCTTATATTGTGTATGTGGTGAGTTCCTTTTTTAAATCCCTAAAATTCCTAATTAATGCAAAAAAGGAATGCAAACACATGCTACAGATGTGCTACAATGATTGCCCTTTAAACCATGAAAAATCAATTATACCATTTTGTACTTAGGTCTTTAGACCCCAAATGATAATGTTACAGGACCATTACCTACCTTTATTTCATCAGATTTGTTATTCAAAGTGCTTTCCTTTGTTAAGATTAGTTTCCACCTTTCTTTGAGGAATGTCAAAAGGATGTATTATAAGTTTAGTTGGAGATTCCAAAAAGGAATTCAAAATACATTTGAACAACACAAATACTGAGATAAGTGGGGTAGTTTCTCAAGGTGACTATTTGGGAGGATACATCAAGCACTTAGATACATTAAGTCTGACTTCTTTGTTAAAAATGTGTCTAATTATCTTGTTTTCATATATTTATTACAAAATTCCTTTTATTGACAAGTATGTCTTTATAAGGAAACTGAAATAAGTTTTTAAAAATTAAGGCAAAAAATCCTATAGATCTATCTCAGAGGTTGTTAGGATTGTTAAGATTAATTATGTGACCCTCTTTTCTCCTTCCCTAGGTTGATTCCTTCTTGTCAATTGGAATTGCAATTTGAGTCAGAAGTTGATTTTGGTATACTGGTTGCCAATAGTAAAGTATATTGTAGAGACATTAATATCATTAACCATGGCAGAGCTCCAGGTAAATACTTGCTGTCATATAAATTCACTTAATTCTTTTAGAAGAGTTGGTATTATTGGGGCCAGGAGGTGGTGTAGTGGTTAAAGTGTTGGACTCCCATATGGTTGACTGCAGTTCAAGTCCTGGACTCAGAAGCTTGAAACTCACACCAGGTGTGTGTGTGTGTATGCCCAAAATCCTGAGAGAATGGAGGAGAAGGTATTGTGATGGCCATCCTCTTTGGGGAGTGATTTCTCTCTCCATGTGTCTCTCTCTGTATCTCTGGTGTGCTCACTTACTCTATAGCAAAAACAAATCTCTCTAAAAAAAAGAGTTGGCACGCTGGGTGCAAGTGCGTGCGTGCCCAAGATCCCGAGAGGAGAATGGAGGAGAAGGTATTGTGATGGCCATCCTCTTTGGGGAGTGATTTCTCTCTCCATGTGTCTCTCTCTGTATCTCTGGTGTGCTCACTTACTCTATAGCAAAAACAAATCTCTCTAAAAAAAAGAGTTGGTATTATCTGAAATGTATACCTTGTATGGTTATAGATTCTCTGATTCAACAAAAGTGATGATGTCTATCATTCGAAATAGTTCAAAGCCCCTCAAATAGTACGATTTTATTTATAAGACTGATGAGCAATAATTCAGGAAAATGAACCCATTTTATGATCCTTCTTATCTCAGCCTGACTCTCACTTGACTGTGATCTTCCTGAGGATAGGAGGCAGAATGATGTCATAAAAATGATGTAGTCCTTAGGGCCATCCAGACACAGAATTAGAGCGAACCTTCTTATTAGCTGTGTAATCCAGCATCAGTTATTGAACTTGAGATTCACAATTTATAAATTGGGACTAGCAAAATGTATGATGGTTAATGATGTACATACTTCAGGTTGTGGTATGGTACCTGGTTTATCCCAGGCACTCAATAAATATGGGGGCACTTCAAGAAGTTAACAGAAAAATATGTGTTATGAAAAAACTATAGATAGATTTCAAAACTTTTTATACCAAGGTAAATTTATATTTTGATTCCATTTTTCCATATACTTTTTGAAGTCCCCTTTTATTTGTACTCTCTATCATATTCAATTTCAAATTTACATCATGAGTCCTAGGCTTTTACTGATTTTTGTTGAAAGTATAATCACTTCTCCCTTCTGCAGCCTGGATTATTTCTAATGTTTTATACTGTGGCCTAAGAGTTTCCATAAAGGTGTACATGTGTGTGCATGTTTATTATAGAGTACGGGAAGCATAGCGTCACTTAATCCTTCAATCTTTAGATGGTCAGCATCTGGGGTTTCTCCTAGTCTAATATGAGAACTAGCTCCAGACAAGAAGGGTATTTCTCTCTGGGGCTTTTTGTTGAATACATAAAACATATCTTAAATTCAAACCTCATTTCAGTTAACTCAGGAGACTCTCTGACACTGCCTGATTGAGCACTGGGAATTATTAAGACAAAGACAGGAGACAAGCAGATGGCATAATGGTTATGTCACTGGATTCCCACATAGTCAACTGTGGTTCGAGTCTTGGACCCCGTGGCTTAAAACTCACATCAGGTGCATGTGCGTGCATGCCCAAAATTCTGAGAGGAGAACAGAGCAGAAGGGAATGAAGCAGAAGGGAATGAAGCAGAAGGGATTGAGGTGTAGTCATCCCCCGTGGGGGGTTATTTCTTTCTCTCTGTCTGTCTCTCCAGTGAGCATATGTGCCCTATAGCAAAAATTTCTCAAAAACAAACAAAAACAGTCTGTCACTTTATGGATTTCTTCCTAGGCAAGGAATAAAACTAATAACTGTCACTCATTGAAAGTTGCTTATTTCAATTTCCATATTTTTGTTTTTAAATGAGTGACTGATACCTGCAAGATCATAACATATTAGGCATATTTGTGGTCTGACTCCAATGTTAAGGATGGAGTTTCTCATAGCAAATTAGTATAAGTTGTGTGATTCTTTAGATTCTATGGTTGTATTTTAGAGCAGTGATATGTAATTGAGAGATATTTATTTGTATTCTTTTATTTTCTATAATTTCTCCTAACTATCATCTATTCGAGGTCCAGCAGGATATTGATCACAATAATGTATCCTCTTTTTACTCTAAAATTCACCAAATTATACAGTTTTATTATAAGAACTTTCCATAAGTAAAAAAAGAACATGAGACCAGCGGGCGGCATAGTGATTAAAGCACTAGAATCCCACATGCCAAGCACAGTTCAAGTCCCAGATCTGGCCACTTGAAAATCACAGTGTGTGTGTGTGTGCCCAATATCCTGGGAAGAAAATGGAGGAGAAGGGATTGCAGCATGGCCATCCCCCCCTAGGAGATGAATTCTCACTTTCTTTCTCTTTTTCTCTCTCAGAATCCATGTGCCCTATGACAAAAACTAAAACTAAAACAAAACAAAACAAAAGAATGGTTTTCATTTTAACTGAAAACTTAGTATCATTGTACTCACTAAAATAAATGAAATAGGACTAGCCCACGGCATGGTGGTTAAGGCAACTGGATCCCACATGGCTGTGATTTGAGTGCTGGACACAATGGCTTAAAAAACTAGCTAGGTGCATGTGTGTGAGTGCCCAAAATCCAAAAGGAGGGAGAAATGAAGGAAAGGGATTGCAACTTGACCATTTCCCATGTGCAGTGCTTTCTCCCTCTCCCTCTTTCCGTCTCTTTCTGGTGAGCACACACACCGTCTGGTAAATTAAAGGAAGAAACAGAGGAGAAAAGAAAAGAAAAAAGAATTTTAAGTTACATACATTGGTCTATATAGTTTAGGAAAAATAATCCAGGTTGGCATTTCGTGTTGTGTTAATATTTTGTGTATATGTAGTATTTGTACCAACTTGGTTGATTTATTATAGTTGAGTATTGTGAAATATTAAGTACTATTACCTTACAAATTGAAACTAATTGCTATCAACGAGAAACTTTTTTCTTCGTGTTGAGTTTATTCCTTATTCTTAGAGTGGAATTATTATTCTTTCCACCGTTAACCAGAACTGATTGTACATATTATAGTCACAATAGCAAGTGTCTGTAAAGTGTCATAAAGTCCTATCTACAGGCCCAGTATATAGTAATAAGAACAATGTATATTCATGAAAATATCACACAGCAAATAGACTCAGCAAATAAAGATGATTTTAATACAAGTTAAAGTTTTTCATGTGACACATATTTTATAGTGTAAGGATCCAAATTCAAATGCTTACAAACTGATACATTTACTTAAGAGGACATTTAAATATTCACACTTAGCAGACTTATCTTTTGTACTACTTTATTTTTTTCTTTGTGGTAGAGTCATTGGAATTATTTTCTTTGATTTCATAGTTTACTGAGAAAGTTTACTTATGTAATGACTTCTTGGTGGTTTATTTTAATAACCCATTAGAGAGTAACTGTCTATGAATTTAGTCAAATATTGAATATACCTTGTTTCCTCACCCTTTCTAAAAATGCTTCCTAAATTCACCCTCCTGACTGTGCAAAGTAACATTTTTCTTTCTGAAAAAATATGGTTAATTCTTTAAGATGTCTTTAATTTTAGTACTTTGTGAGTTAATAAAATCTATGTTCTATTTTGTGACTTTATGGTATGATACTACCCATATTGTCTCTCAGCTTTTATCTCTTTCTTTGAGAGAGAGAGATTTTTGCTATCGGGCACGTGTGCTCACCAGAGAGACAGAAAGTGAGAAATCACCCCGTGGGGGGATGGCCATGCTGCAATCACTTCTCCTCCATTCTCCTCTCAGGATCTTGAGCATGCATGCACATGCACCCGGCATGAGTTTTAAGCCACTGGGTCTGGGACTTGAACCGTGGTCTACTATGTGGGAGTCCAGTGACATAATCATTATGCCATTTGCTGGCCCTTTGGTTTTTATCTTTAAAGACTGAAAAAAAGTATTATTATAGTGTGCCTTCAATTGCAATCATTTCTTCCTTCACCTGAGCATTCAACAGAGTTTTTCTACTACAGTGTAATAATGTAGAACAGTCTTTAAAGGTACTAATTATGGGCCTTATACACCATTTCTAGGTTTGAACAACTACCTCAGCATGTGTTATCCTCTAGGGTTATTTGGGATACTTTGTTCAAAATATATGACCTTTCCCTTGCTCTTACTGTCCACCTTCCCCTTTATTTTGATCATCAATATCATCACCCCATTTCAGTGCCTAGAAAAACCTACCATCATCTGCAATTGAGAAAATTTGCCACTCAGGAATGGTCTTTGGGATCTTCCCTAGTCACCCAGCAAAAGTACCCCCTACTTATTCTCAGTGCATACTTTTATTTTCAGGTTTTCTTTTCTTGGAAGCCAATGTCATGAAATCTCAATTCAAGGTCTCTTCAAAATATTCATGGAAGGGAACCAGCAGTTAGCGTAACGGCTATGTCGCTGGACTCCCACGTAGTCAACCGCGGTTCATGTCCTGGACCCAGTGGCTTAAAACTCACACCGGGCACGTGTGCATGCGTGCCCAAGATCCCAAGAGGAGAATGGAGGAGAAGGGATTGCGGCGTGACCATCCCCCCTGGGGGGTGATTTCTCGCTTTCTGTCTCTCTGTCTCTGTCTGGCGAGCGCACGTGCCCTATAGCAAAAACCTCTCAAAAAAAATATTCATGGAAAATTTGTATCATGGAAAGCTACACATAGATTTCAAAGTGTTTTGCACCAAAATAAACATGTAATTTTTATGTCTATTTTTCATGAAAATTTTGAAACCTCCTTTTACACTCTTCATGCATAATACAATGCTGGTCATGCAGCAGACACTTGATAAACATTTGCTTAATTGATTTGGTTGTGATCTCTCAGTGTCAGCAAAGAATTGTTAAGTTTTCCAAGAAAAATAATTGATTCAGATGTCATCTGTTTAACACTATATAAGCATTTTAAAGAGTCTCCAAGAATAAGTCATTTGGAGACAGACAGAGCTCTGATAAATTCCTGATGTTTTCAGAGTAGAGGAAACTTAAAAAATAAAGAAGGGGGACTAGGAAGAGAAGAGGAGGAAGAAGTAACAATGGCTTTAGGTCATGATAGTTGATTGTCAATAATAGTATCCTATAAAAACTACAGGCTACTCTGCTTTGGTCTTATAGATACTTTGACACAAAAATCTACTTAATAAATTGTTTCTAAAAGTATTTTGGAGGTATATAGGCAAGGTAAAAATGTATACTTTACCTAACTCAATGTCTGAGCTGCTTCTCTAGAGAAGGTAGAGCAATCCAGATAAAAAAAAACACAGTTTTGTTCAAAAAAACCTTCATCTCTTCATCCCAGAGAGTATGCTAAGCATTTTATTACTCGTCCTCACAATTACAAAAAGAAGGCACTATCTTTAACTCTAATGTACATAGTTGGCCAGTATTATCATCTTGGGAAAACCAAACCAAGCAAAACCACTTTGGCATCTGTGACCCTCTCACTATCCTATATAAAATGGTAGTTAATAGCTCAATTCCTTGAGAGAGGTTTCATGAAGAGTATGCTAAGCATTTTATTACTCGTCCTCACAATTACAAAAAGAAGGCACTATCTTTAACTCTAATGTACATAGTTGGCCAGTATTATCATCTTGGGAAAACCAAACCAAGCAAAACCACTTTGGCATCTGTGACCCTCTCACTATCCTATATAAAATGGTAGTTAATAGCTCAATTCCTGGAGAGAGGTTTCATGCCAACCCAAATCTTGCTTGTACCACTTACTAGCTGAGAGGTCCTGCACAAGAAATTTACTCTTCCTAAACATCTATTGCTTCTTTTACCTTAGAGATAAATATAGTGGTTTTGTAATTGTAGTGATGAGTAATAAAGTGCTTGGCATACTCTCTGAGATAGATTAAGTGGTTAATAAATATTAGCTATTGATGTTGCAATTACTCTTTTCTACTACCTCTCCTCTCTTCATTCTCTTTTGTGGACTGCTATCCCTCCTTTGGATACATTAAATGTGAGGGTTCCTTAACAAATGTGAGAGTTCCTGGACCTTTATGCTTCCTCAGTCAACATACTCTCCCTGGGTAATCACTTCCATTTCTTTCATTTCACCAACTGATCTCGGGTGTATACAATACTGAACTCATCAGCTTCCCCTGATAATACTTCTCCTTTTCACTGAATGTCACCACATGTATTTTGGCAAGTCAGAAACTTGGCAACATTCTCACCACCTCTCTCTTGCTTCCTACTCCCATACTCAGTCAATTAGTAAGTTCTGTCTCTTCATTTCCTTATTGAGTTAGTAATCTTAATTTCTCTGTCCCATTGCCACTTTGCTGCAACAGGCCATCTTCTCTTGCTTAGTAACTACATTGACTTAAATGATCTTCCTGAATTCACCTCTTACTTCCTTTTTGTTCATTTTCTACACATTATCTAGTATCTTATCCAAAAAGAAATGAAAAATCTGATCTCAAAATCTTCATTTAAAACTCTTTAAATGTCTTTTTGTTAGCAATTAAAAACAAAACAAATTGTTCTGTGATTTAAAATGATATAAAACATAATAATGTTGACATATCCATGATTTTAATATATTTAGAAGACTGAACAATGTTCTTTTCACTTTTGGGTTATTCCTGAATAATCTTTTGAAACATCGACTTCGGCTCTTTCCTCAAATTATGTCTAAGTGATTACAAGATAGGAACTATTTCACTAACTTTGTCTTAACTGCACTTGTATAGTCCTTCTTTATATAAGTAAATATATACTATCTACTTGACATGAATATAATTTCATAGCGTTTTCTTTTATAACAAATAATGTTAAATATTATTTTGTTAGCACTTCTATAAAATGATTGAATGAATGGATTTTGCTACTTTGAGGTTTTTTGCCTTTTCCATCAGATAATCCCTGAATTAAAAGATATACTGTCTTTTTATATTTTCAGTACCTTTATCACTCTAATATGCTATACTCCTAAATTAAATGAATGATTTGAGGAAAATGTCACCAAAAACAGGTGAATTGGGAACCTGTAAAATTGTTATGTTGGCAGCATACTCATTTGTGTTGCAATGATGGTAAAGAAACATGACCAGGTGTATCCACTTGTTGGGCTTATTTTTGACCACTGCTTTATGTGTGAAGCAGTGTGGGGGATGCTGGTATCACAAAAATGAAAAAGAAATAGTATCTTATCTTAAGGATCACATGCAGTAATTCAGGCACTAAACAGTACTGTGAATTATGAACTTTGTCTGTTTCCAGAATTAAAAAATCTTTGTAGCCTCCTTCTCATATGTCATTTGATTCTAGAAACTTAATTCTCTTTTTACTCTGTATGAATTGGATAAATTAATTTATGGGGAAGTGGTAGTAGTTATAAGCGTGAGCCTTGTAACCAGAAACACCCAAGTGGAACTCTCTTCTCCATTAGTTAATTACTAGCACTAGGACTTAACCATTGCCTTGTAACAAACCACTATGAAATTCTCTATCTTAAAGTAGCAAGTATTTTTAAATTGTTCATTGTATAGGCATTGACTGGACCTCCACAGATCTAGGCTGGACATAGTGGGGTGCCCTGTTTTATACTAGGGCAGCTGGGGCTGTTCTGTTTCTTCCTGCAGGTATGTGGGTCAGCTAGGTGACTCTGCTCTACATTTGTCCATTCTGGTACATAGGCCAAAAGGACAGAAGCTACTCAGGAGAAACATTTCCCACTTCACACAGTAGACGTGTATCTGGGTTGGAATTGTCATGTTATTAATTCCACCCACGTGTTATTGACCAAAGCAAACCACATAACCAAGATCAAAGTCAAGGGATGGGAAAAGATAGTTTGTATATGATAGGATAATGGTGTAGATGCAAGGAAGGGTGAAGAATTGGCCCCAACAATCTAATCTCAGTAGTTGTGTAACTTTGGACAAGTTACACAACATATTCTTGCTTTAAGAGATTTTCGCCATAGAGTATGTGCGCTTGTCCAGCTGCAATGAATATAGATGTACAAGTGCTTTTCTGACTGAGCGTTCTCTTGTCCTTTGGGTACATACCCAGGAGTGGAATTGTTGGATCATACGGTAGTTCTATTTGAAGGTCTTTGAGGAACCTCGATATTGTTCTCCACAGGGGTGGGACCAATTTACATGCCCACTAACAGTGTAGGAGTGTTCCCCTTTCCCCGCATCCCCTCAACATCTTTTTTTTTTTTTTTAATTTGCCAGAGTGTATGTACACTTGTCAGAGAGACACAGATAGAGAGACAGGGAGGATGAAGGAGAAGTACCCCCTCCCCCATAGGGCATGGTCTCATCACAATCCTTTCTCTTCTATTTCTCAATTTTGCTAGGATTTTGGGAACATGTGCCCAATATGTTTCTCAAGCCCCCAGGTTGAGAACCCAAATCATGTGGTCAGTTTTATGTGGGATCTGGCTTGATCACTACACCAGCCATGGGATCAGCTCATCATTTTTAAGCTTCTATTTTCTTATTTGTAATATAGAAGTAATAATTGAACTTATAGTATCATTATGAGAATTACATAAGATAACATATGTGGAACTCTTAGTTAAGACTCTGAACATAGAGAGCAGATAATATAGTTTAGCTACTGATGAAGGTTGAGTCCTAACACTAGTACCACATTAGCTGAGTGACCTCAGAGACTGTATTTACAATATAAGTTATTATTCCTATTCCACAGTAGACTATCTACTCTGTAATATGTATTCATCCCCTGCTAAGGTTATATTATTTACTTTTTATTTTTATTTAGTTTTTTTGGAGAGGTTTTTGCTATAGGGTGTGTGTGCTCAACAGAAAGACAGAGACAGAGAGATAGAAAGCAAGAAATCACCCCCCAGGGAGGATGGCCATGCTGCAATCCCTTCTCCTCCATTTTCCCCTCAGGATCTTGGGCATGCACGTACACACGCCTGGCATGAGTTTAAGCCACTGGGTCTGGGACTTGAACTGCGGGTGGCTACATGAGAGTTCAGCGACATAGCCATTATGCCAACTGCTGGTGCGTCCCCTGCTAAGGTTATGAATGCAACATTGTGAAAATTCAGACTAAACACTCTGCTATTCTCCTTAGGTATATTTTACACAGATTATCAGGGCCAATTACCCATCGTTATTTCTCCAAGTAGTGGTATTGTGGAGTCTAAGTCATCAATGGTTATCAAAGTGGATTTCTGTGCAGACCAGGCCAGAACTGTAAAAGAAGAGGCAATGTGAGTGTGTACTATTGTTCTTATTTCTAATACGGATCTTAGCAGTTTCACCCTTCTGATGTGCCTTTCATTATATGTTAAATTATTTGTTCTTTCATTCAGCATTTATTCATTGTATACTACTTGCCAAGTATTAGGGTATCAGAAATGGGAGGAACTGGAGGATGGCATATGGGCACATAACAGAAGCTTCTAGCTTGGATTTTGTGGAGGTGAGGGAGTGGACCAGGGAAGGACTCTGCTAAGAAGGTGGTAATTGAATCGAACACTTATTGGAAAGTAAGAATTAGCCAAGTAAAAGAGTATTGGTATAATTTGGGGTATGTGTGTATGTGTGTGTATGTATGTATGTAGGCATAGCTTAGGGGAAGTGAGTATTGGTGATGGAAGAGGGTTAGAGGAGTGATTTCAGGCAAAGCAAGTGGCAGACTTGAAATTGTAAAGTTGAAGAAATGGTATTGCACACTGTATGATCTGAGACACGTAGTCAAAAAGATGGAGGTGGGTAGTGATATGATATGAGACTAGAAAAACAGACTGGTGCTGGATCCAGTAAAGGGCCTTATACACAACCATTATTTATGTTGTATAACTCAATTCATTAGTACGATGTGTGATTTATGTAATGGGTAACTTATACTATTGGGTTGTTAGAAAAATCATGTCATATTTTTTGTAAAGAAAAACGTAGAACAATTCAATGTGAATTTTTTTGATGGTTCAATATTTTAAAAATTGAAATAGAAAATGTCAGAAATCATCTCAAAGAGTTAGGCTGAATATTATTTCATAAAACTTCCTTCTATTGTGTATATTTGTATGTGTGTGTGTGTCTGTGTGTGTGTGTTCCTACATTGCAGTATAAAACACATTTCTTCCCCAAAATCATAGTTATAAATGTCTGACAAACAGTCATGAACCCTGATGAGAGATGATGTTTTATTGTGAAGGTTGTGAAGTTTCAGGAAGGTTTTAAGATGGAAGTTTCTTGATTAGTTTGCATTTCAGAAAGGTCATGCTAGTAACTGTATTCAAAATAGATCAGGGAATACATATTGAGTGGGCAGCTTGACTAGAAACTATAATAGTAAAGTAAGAGGGGCATGATAAGTACAAATTAAGAGGGTTGAGAGACATGTATAGATTGGAGATACATTATAAAGTTCGACCTTACAAGATTTGGTGACCGATAGTAGAAAGAAAAGGCAAGTACAGGGACAAGGCTGTGGAAGAAGATCTTAAGTTTGGTTTGGACATGTAGAGATTGATTTTTTTTCAGAACCCTGATGAAGCTGGTTAGAGCCTGTAAGATTTACACATCTTCCACCCCAGAAAGACATTTAGTATGAGTATATTGGGTGGAGGGTCATCAGTGTACTAGTGGCAGATGTAACATGAAAGTTCTGAGAATAACTCGGAGAGTAGTGTGAAAAGAGTAAGGGAGAAACATCACTTCTTATGGAGTTTACAAAGGATTCAAGTCTTAGAAGCATGAGAATGTAGGGTCTGAGTGAGTTACAAGGAAAACCAGAAAAGTATAGTATAAGGAAACTAAGGGAGGAGAGAGGTGCAAAGAGATGTGCCAATAATTCCTAATGTTATAGGATGAACAGTGAGATAAGGACCACAGTGATGGTTGTGGAGTAATCAGTTATTTGTGGTATCTTTTGGGGCTAGATTGAGAAGACTAAATTTATGCTAGAGAAGGATACATATGAGAGATAGTTTGAAAAGCAATTTGAAATTAGTCTAGGAAGTGAAGTTTTATGGGGAATATTTATTTCAATAAGGAAGTACATTTTTGCTGAGATACTTCAGATCGTAGGGAAATTAGTTGTTAGGATTGAGATGAAATTTGTTGTTGAACTTGAGGGGAGTGGGAGGGTGCATTGAATTAGAAAAGAATCTCAGAATTCTGGAATTAGAGTTAGAGATATAAATAACTTAACTCTAGTATTAAGGAAATAATTGGTGAAATGGATATGTCATTGAGTTCTCTCTAGTCAGCTCATGAACTTGTTTTCCAACTTCGTTGTTTTCTGTAGACAAGGAATTAAGTTGTACATATGCCATTCCACTGTGTAGATTCAGACAAAGAAGAACCTGACGATCTCTGGCATGCTTGTGAAAGGAATCCTTCTTAGGCTGTTGAATATTAATTATAACATGACTTTATATAACTTCTGTTTATTTTATAAAATTTCTGTTTTGAATAAAGATAAAGCATGTAATTCTAATTAAAGTGTACATATATGTGCATATTTCATTATCTTACAGAGTGAGTTTGCAAGGCCGTCCTAACATAGTCTTGACTATCAAAGCTCATGTAGTTGAGCAGATTATTGAATTGTTAAACATTCATAACGACAGAAAGTTGGAATGCATACATTTTGGCTCTCTTTTCTTTGGAACATCAAAAATTGAACGTGCTCGTCTATATAATAATAGCCCGGAACCCATAAATTGGGTAGCAATAATGCAAAATGATTGCATTGGAGAAGAATTGGTAAGTAAACCTTGCAACAAGGGGATATTAGGTATTATGATTTGAAACATACTTTTCTGGATCTACTAATAGCCAACACACTATTTAATGATTCTAAATATGTTTTAATATAGGCATATATTTTTGACTTTATGTCTATCTAAGGATAATTTTAAAAATTCGGTAAATTAAGCTATAGTAATAAATTTCTGAAATAAACCAGATAAATGCTTCTTATGGATTGGTGGATAATTTGGGGGAATACTGTTTTCCTTAGTTGTTAGTTGACAAATTTATGTATGTGTTACTTTAAAGATAATCTTTATCTTCTAGATTCTGAAATTTCAATAATTATTGACCTCCTCTTAAAATATATATTGTTTCCATTTTGTTTTAATACTCTTTTATTTCTGATTTTATATGACAGGGTACAAATATTCAACAAAGAACAGACGTCGCTCTGAATAATCTCAATTATCTAAAAAAAGTAAAGAAAATAAATATTACTGCTTTTATCGCCTGTATTCCTAATGAAGGGACTTTATTACCTTATCAAAAGATTGTAATTACCTTTTGTTTCAGTCCAAAGTAAGCAACAATGAATTCCATTGTAATGTTATATATTAATGAGCAATGTATTAACCACACTTTAATCAGATTGATTATAATACTGTCAGTAAAACTTAGCAGAAAGCAAAAATTGGATTTTTCTTGTCATGGTTGAAAATATTTCTGACATGGTTAATATTATTTGCAGTATTTCTGAATATGGTTCTAAATACTTTGTGCTAAATTAAAAATCTCTTCAGACCTTTTGGAAATAGGGTAGCAGAAGTGAAAGTTTGTGGTTATTTTAGATTGTCTTACTAAGCGGATTCAAATCCCAAAGACCCTGTTGACCCTGCAAAATAGCAAAATAGTCAGGTGTATGTAGTTTGTTCTAGGTGCCTCCAAAGAAGATGTAGTGCTCCCAGCAGGGCAAAATCCCTGCTGACTATCATGAGTATTAATCCTATGGCACCTTTTGAGATCAGCCACACTTGTTTCCTGAAATTCATGCAGACTTTTAGTACCTATACTAATGTATATTTTTCACAATTGTATGTATTGGGTCATTAGAAAAGTCATGACAAATTTCGCATAGAAAAACAGAGAAAAATACATCATGACTTTTCCAATGACCCAATACTTGGTTTTATTATTTACTTTGAAAATGTAGTTTTGGAAACGCTGTTTTAAATGTATAGTGGCAATTGCAGTGGCATCTCGGTAGGCTACAGTGTGTGTCAATAACTGATCCAATTGCAAGTGTGTTTACCCTTTCCTGTGAGAGGATAACATTTATTGTACTTCTTGTAGCAACAGAATAGTTTGGTGATATCAATTGACTGGTGAAGACTGAGCTGTGGTTTAATTTTTAGGAGGTTAATAATTCAAGTAACTGTTCTATTTGTACAATCTACAGTTGCCTTATTAATGCTAACTCATATAGGACATTACTTTGGTAACAATTTTGTTTAATACACAGTCTTGGAAATTTTAAATATTCTTTGTCATAGAAGCATGTTATCTTCATTTGACAGTCTAGTATAGGCTTGAAGTTACAAGTATGATTTGACATCTTAGTAAATGTGTTTTGAATACACCATTTGTATTTCTGTCTAATATTTCATACCAGCCTTTTGGGAATGTTTTTGTGTATCCACTGCTAGAATAGCTGACCTCTAGGCAAGGCAGGTAAAGATAGACAACAAGCAGGCTTATGATATAACACATTTCTGTCTTTGGTCATATTTCCCTTATTCACATCCTTCCTTCCTTCTTTTCCTCTAACAAAATTTAACTCTTACCAAGTCCTGTTCTCTAAATTACTTGTCCATTAACAAGAATGGTGCAGTGGCTGACAATATGTACATAGTCCACTGGGGAAGATAGATGTATAACAGAGGCTTTTGTTCATCCAGGGATAAGATGCACTTCTGTAGAGAATTGACCAGAGTCCATAGCCTGCAATGAGTCTTGTCTGTTAAGAATATCCCTCACAGGGGCCAGCAGGTGGCATGGTGGTTAAGGGTGCTGAATTCCCACATGGCCAACCATGATCTGAGTCCCAGGTCTGGGGGCTTGCTTTCTTGCTTTCCCTTTCTCTCTCTCTTTCTCTGGTCAAATTAAAAAGTAATAACAAATGGGATTAAATAAATACATACTTAATAATAAAAAAAGAATAAACCTTACAGAGAAGGTGGTATTTCAGCTAGACCTTGATGACTTAGTATATTTAAATTACACTTCTTTTGCAAATGTTGGCATGAAATCATTTTTTCTGAGCTTTACACTCTGTGGCCTTTTCTCAGCAAGTCTCTGTTTGTGCAATTATTTAGGAAAATGGCTAAAAATTGTATTTTTAATCCTTAACTTTTCTTCACTTTCATAGATTTAAAGATTGGGTTGATATTCCCTTTTGAGAGGTTATCAGTTTAACTTTAAAAATAACTGATAAGAACTGTGATCTTTTTACAGACTAATTATTAATGGTAAAAAGGAGGTAGAACCATCACACAGGCAGGACTATGCTGTCTTTTTGACATTTGAATCTGTGGGAAGCAAAGATGGATTTTTAAGAGATGATAACAGTAAATGTGTCAAAAGTAAGTATGAAATGAACAGTTTTGTCAAATGTATTAATACCCTAGAGGCAACTTAATAAAAATATGTAGTTACTGAATAGAACAAAAATGCAAACATATTCAAGAGACATTCAAGTGTCATCTGTGGCATGTTAAGAAAGAAGTCAACCATAGAATAATTTAATCATTTTCCAGGTTTAAAATGACATTAGATAAACATGAAAATTTATAGTTTAAGAAATGAGGAAAAATATTTTGTTTTCCTATATATATCTAGGTTTTCTCTTAGGGATTAGTATGAGAAAAGATGACCCATTCTGTCTCTACTAGACCTTGAGCTCTTTTAGAATCTTCATACAGCTGGGACCAGCAGATAGCATAATGGCTATGTTACTGGGACTCCCATGTAGTCGACTGCGGTTCGACTCCCGGACCTGGCTACTTAAACTCACACCAGGCGCGTGTGCGTGGGTGCCCAAGATCCCGAGAGGAGAATGGAGGAGAGGGGATTGCGTTGTGGCCATCCCCCTGGGGGGGTGATTTCTCACTTTCTGTCTCTCTGTCTCTCTGTCTTTCTGGCAAGCACATGTGCCCTATTGCCAAAAAAAAAAAAAAAAAAAATCATCATACAGCAACAGTCAAAGAAGGTGACCATGAAATCTAGTAAACAGAGTGCAACATTCTGTTATAAGACACTATTGAGTGTGTGTGATTTGTAGTCCACATGTCAAAATGCAATATATTTTTACATTCTCAGATAATATTGAGTAGGTTGCAGCGAAGAAAAAGTGGATCAGGATTTGGGTTCAGCTTGACAACACAGATCAAAGAGAAAAAGAAATAGGGTAGGGATCTGATTCAGAAGGAGAGGTAGGTCTATCTTGGATATTTATACAAGTCAAAAGCCTAAAACATTTGTAAGTAAGTATGGGTGATATTAAGCAGGATTTAAAGGAATTTCCAAAGCATAAATTGATTGCTCTATTACTATTTAAGTCATAATTTGTGATATTGAGCTAAGTTTTCAGATTATAGAACATTTTAATGAAGCTTACAGGTTAATCCAGTTTTAAATAGCTAGAGATAGAGATGATATGTTTGCCTTTAAAGTAATTTTGAGTTTAATATTGGCTAGTAAGAACATTATGAAGAAATATAAACTCTTTTGGGGCATTCTAGTTATAGTGCTTTCTGTGCAAAACTGCTTTTGTACCCAGTTAGAGCCTACAATCCACAGTCTTTTTTTTCTTCTTTTTTCTTTTTTGGAGAGGTGTTTGCTATAGGGCACGTGTCCGCACCA